GGCCCAAACCTTTTGCTTACCATCCTTCATCCTTACACACACACACACACACACACACACATATATATATATATATATATATATATATATATATATATATATATATATATATATATATATATATATATATATATATATACATACACACACACACACACACACATTCCTGAGGACCTAATGACCCTCAGAAGCGCTCAGATGGGGTCACCTAGCTTCCTTGGAAGGATGGTAAGCAAGTGGTGTGGGACTACACGTGCGCTGCCACACTGGCTAGTACCTACCTCCACTACAGCACACGTGAAGGGGGTGGTGCTGATTCTTTCAGGGAATCGCAGAAAATTATCAAATACAGAGGTCTGGCACACTGCTACAGCTTTGTTCCGATCGGCTCGGAGACCCTCGGTTCGTGGGGGAAAGGTGCATTGAAGTTCCTGAAGGAATTGGGGAACAAATTGATCAGCGCTACAAAAGATCAGAGAGCAAAAAGTTTCTTGTTCTAGCGCCGCAGTGTTGCGATTCAGAGGGGGAATGCCTGTTGCGTCTTGTGCACTAGTCCAACTTCAGAGGTATTCGAAGAAATGTTTGACTTGCAACAGAGATCGAACCCGTCTGTGACATTTATCAATGTTTCCCATTGTCGTGTTTTTCAAGAGATCCATAACCTTTAAGCACTTTTTGTATCAACCCATGTATATGCAGGCGATGAGTCACAATAACGTGGCTGAAGTATGTTGACCAGACCACACACTAGAAGTTGAAGGGACGACGACGTTTCGGTCCGTCCTGGACCATTCTCAAGTCGATTGGGAGAATAGTCCAGGACGGACCGAAACGTCGTCGTCCCTTCAACTTCTAGTGTGTGGTCTGGTCAACCCATGTATATCTGAATATCAACCCATGTATATGTATATTTAAATTAGGGCACCTGCACCCATTGCATGACACTGAAACATTGCTGCTCATCCACGGGATGGATATGTGTTCCGGAATAATATAATTCCACTATCTTTAGTTAATGTTTAAACTATCTTTTCGGTATCTAATCGAAATTCTCACTCTTTCGATTATGGGTTCTTGGGGTGACAGCGATATCAGTTTGATCAAGTTTAAATAAACTGTTCATGTCTATGTTTACAAAAAATCGTAACCAGAACATCATTACTGAACTTTGCTTAACTAAAGTAATTTTGCTATTCCGTTCCTGGGCCCATTTGGGTGCTTCTGTAACCTCTCACTGTGACCAGCACAAAAACAATTACACCTATTAGTCAATTAGTCATCATAAGAAATTGTTGTATTCAATTGTGTGCATTTAAAATCATTAATTACCATCATTTATATTATAATAATAATATTATTATTATCATTATTATTATTATTGCAGTTCCATATCAAACACCATCATTATAGAAAATGCTTCGCTGAATATTTAAAAAGAATATATATATATTTTTTAATTTTATTTTTTTTACCGCTGTTGCTCTCGTTTTTCAATTTAATACCTTGATTTAGTTATCCAAAAGGCAGAAAACTATTATAAAGAGCTATGATATGTTTAGCGCTGAGATAGTTTTGAACGTACACCACAACACATCTACAGTTTAAGAGTTGGCGATACAGAGTGATGCCAGAATTAGGAATTGTGTTGTCGTTACCTATGGCGAGTAAATTGATCCTCTCAACAGCCGAACACAATACTTGTAAACTCAATAAAAAAGAACCACTTGTAAACTCAGTCAAGAAGAGCCACTTGTAAACTCAGCCAAGAAGAGTCACTTGTAAACTCAGTCAAGAAGAGTCACTTGTAAACTCAGCCAAGAAGAGCCACTTGTAAACTCAGCCAAGAAGAGTCACTTGTAAACTCAATAAAAAAGAACCACTTGTAAACTCAGTCAAGAAGAGCCACGTGTAAACTCAGTCAAGAAGAGCCACGTGTAAACTCAGTCAAGAAGAGCCACGTGTAAACTCAGTCAAGAAGAGCCACGTGTAAACTCAGTCAAGAAGAGCCACGTGTAAACTCAGTCAAGAAGAGCCACTTGTAAACTCAGCCAAGAAGAGTCACTTGTAAACTCAGTCAAGAAGAACCACTTGTAAACTCAGTCAAGAAGAGTCACTTGTAAACTCAGTCAAAGAGAGCCACGTGTAAACTCAGTCAAGAAGAGCTACGTGTAAACTCAGCAAAGAAGAGCCACGTGTAAACTCAGTCAAGAAGAGTCACTTGTAAACTCAGTCAAGAAGAGCCACGTGTAAACTCAGTCAAGAAGAGCCACGTGTAAACTCAGTCAAGAAGAGCTACGTGTAAACTCAGCAAAGAAGAGCCACGTGTAAACTCAGTCAAGAAGAGTCACTTGTAAACTCAGTCAAGAAGAGCCACTTGTAAACTCAGTCAAGAAGAGTCACTTGTAAACTCAGTCAAGAAGAGCTAGGACATCATCAACTCTGTATAAATAATTTACTCGGTCATTTTTTTTTTTTTTTTTTTTTTTTTGCTGGATATTCCTGCGCGGGCCCTAAGCTTCTGACTGGTCCAGGGCCCTAAGCTTCTGACTGGTCCAGGGCCCTAAGCTTCTGACTGGTCCAGGGCCCTAAGCTTCTGACTGGTCCAGGGCCCTAAGCTTCTGACTGGTCCAGGGCCCTAAGCTTCTGACTGGTCCAGGGCCCTAAGCTTCTGACTGGTCCACTGAGTTTTACTAGTTTCTGTCATATAATTTCTGTTACTCATTCTCCGCCTAAATAATGGCGGAGTGTGAGTATTTATGCAGGCGATGAGTCACAATAACGTGACTAAAGTATGTTGACCAAACTACACACTAGAAGGTGAAGGGACGACGACGTTTCGGTCCGTCCTGGACCATTCTCCAGTCGATTGTGAGTATTCATGACTCATACTCCGCCTAAATATAAACGGAGTATGAGTATTTATGACTCGTACGTTCGCTTCAGTAAGATTATGCTCGAATGTGTTTAACAGTTTCTTCTTTATTGAGTCTTAGTTGAAATCTTATTTGGTTCTGCAACTCTACACTGTGTTATACTCGGTATTCAATGCTACTAAACCAAATGGCATGAGATACCTCGAACTTTGTAACTACTTTATTCATGCTGCAGGGGCCTGACAGCTGAGTGGACAGCGCTTCGGATTCGTAGTCCTGAGGTTCCGGGTTTGATCCCCGATGGAGGCCTACAAGTGGCGCAGAGTTCTTTCACCCTGAAACCCTTGTTACCTAGCAGTAAATAGGTACCTGGGAGTTAGACAGCTGCTACAGGCTGCTTCTTGGGGGGGGGGGCGGTGTAACAAAAGGGAGGCCTGATCGAGGACCGGGCCGCGGGGACACTAAGTTCCGAAATCATCTCAAGATAATAAGATCTCAAGAAGAAAATGCATGCATATTAGAAGCTATAGTCACACTCTACCTTTGCTAGTGTCGGAGACCGGGCCGAGGGGCTGTTGCTCCCCGGAAGCTACTCAAGGTAGTGAACTGGACTCATATCCCAAGAGAATGGTGAAAATACCATCGAACCAGGGAAGGAGGATCAAGTTCCTGTGGCCTCAGCTGTCATGTTAGTATCTGTGGACTGAGGGAGCAGATGAGCTGGCTGTCGAGGACGCTATAAAATACCATATTGAATACTTCAGCCCCAAGACCCTTTTACAAATCATGGAGCATCATCAAATATCACCATCACAAGGTAGCTGAGGAAAGGAGGATAGAAGAATACAAGTCAAAGAATTTGTATGCTGGTTCAAAGCACTCGCAGCCAAAAACCATATTCATAGGAGGCGAAAGAGAGGTGGAGGCTGATGGATTCCGTAATTGCAAGAATCTATCTTGGTTGCAAGGACCCGTGGAGATTCGGGATGGAAACGTCAGCTGAGCAGTGAAGTTGCCCAATTTGAAACATGGGTGAGGGACATCGTCTGCATTGCTACCTAAGAGATTGTCTTTCATCTAAGAGCAATGAGCCATGTCCAGTCCTGTATAATGAGCTCCACATTGTTTGAGTTAAGCTCTATTTGTTCAATATATAGATGCTGTTCTCAGTAGGTTTCCCCACTTTTCACCCGCAAGAAAGCATAAACTTGAAGGTTGTATTATATTAATCATTTGTTTAATAGTCTGTTCACTTGAGACAATTAAATCATACTCGCCCGTCGCTTCGCGAGCGTTTTGGATTGGGTTCGTATCCTGGCCAGGGAGGATTGACTGGGTGCCAACCCTTAACTGTAGCTATGTTCACCCAGCTGTGAATGGGGTGCCTGGTTGTTAAACAATTTGGCGGGTCGTATTCCAGGGAAAAATTTGCATTAAGGACTTGCCCGAAACGCTATACTTGCCAATGGCTGTACTATAGAATGTAAGAACTCTTGTATAGATACACAAATAAATAAATAAAACTAAAAGTCACCGCTGCCTTTAGGTACAAGTGACAGTATTAACAACTCAATGGGTTTTCATCCTATTTAAAGACCTGGGGCGAGATTCACGAAAGCACTTACGCAAGCACTTACGAACGTGTACATCTTTCCTCAATCTTTGACGGCTTTGGTTACATTTATTAAACAGTTTACAAGCATGAAAACTTGCCATTCAACTGTTGTTATTGTTATAAACAGTCTCCTGGTGCTTTGGAGCTCATTAACTGTTTAATAATTGTAAACAGAGCCGCCAAAGATTGAAAAAAGATGTACAGGTTCGTAAGTGCTTGCGTAAGTGCTTTCGTGAATCTGACCCCTGATTGTTCTGTTCACCTAGCAGTAAACATGTTCCATATAGTTAGTCAGCTTGTTGCTGGGTGGTATCCTGAGAAGGGTCAGTAATTCGACCCTGAAGGTCGGGGAGGACCTCGATAAAAGCCTAGCATGTATATACACACTGGCTGCCTGTCCACGAATACATATGAATTATTATTTAGTATATGCATGTATGAGTGGAGTAGTACCGCTAGTGGTGTGTGGCAATCCTCCTTACCAGCCTCCACCCGCACGCTAGTTAGCGGAACTAAGCAGAGAACGAGGCTAGCGTCGCTCCTCCCTGCATCCCCTTGTGTTCGTCCTGGTGCTGTGTGATGTGCGGGGCGTTTAACGAAAGCAGTGCTATATAGACTGTCAGGGGGGGAGAAAGGGGCAACAAATCCTGCAAATTGTATGCTGAAAAGTAGCAAGTTAGCGCAGAAAATCAGCTCAGTGTTGGTGGTGTTCTGGAGGTGGCCTGGTTGTGGTGGCGCTGTGTAGGGGAGGTTGCCTACTTTCCTGAACATTTTACAAACTTCTCCCATCTTATTTTCTCCTCATCACCGCCTACAAATAAACATTCAAGTGACATCACTTCGAAATAATCAAATAGAATAGCAGTATTTACATACATAAACACATATATATAAATGTATATATATTTATATATTTTAATAGACGAAGCAGTCAGCGACGGCATCCGGGGAACGTTCTCCCGTCATCAAGCTCCGCCCCGTGACGTCACCTAAGTAAACAGACCGGATCGAGGCTCTCTACCTGGCGCCAAGTATCGTCTTCGCCTGTCTCCAGCTCCAAGGAAACTGTAGCAAGATGTATAGCAGCGGTAAGTGAACTAATGTGTGTGTTAACTGCCAGTTTATGTGTTACAGCGGTGGTTGGAGGTGGTTTTGATTTTGTTTTGTTTTTGTAACAATTTAAAACAATTGTTTTTGCCCCTCGAATGTGTTTGAGCCTCGCCACAGGGATTTGTTTAGTGGCCGTTGAGGCGTAATTGTATATGTCAGGAACTGACATATACAATTACAACTGTAGCATGCTCGTGTCTGATGCTAGACACAAATACAACAAAATTATTAATGATTGCAACAGAGTCCATTTCATGACCAGGCCTCCATTTGGAGGCCTGATCGAGGACAGGGCCGCTGGGACGTTGAGCCCTGAAATCATAGTAAGGTAACCATATGGATTCCATCTCATGTTGGCTTCCGAATGCATGATGATCAGCTCCGAATGAGCTGATGAGTTAGCCAAGGAATCTGCATTTAAAGGAGAAATTGAATATAACCTTGGGTTATCCATAAGCAGTCTGAGAGCAATAGTACACCAAGAACTTCAATATAATCTTGTACATCTGAGGCAAAGTGAAATCGACACCAGTAATTCCCTCTATCATCATTCTATCATGCAAGAAGAGCCACACATCTATGGATCGATCATCCAATAAAATCAGCAGACTTCTAAATATTACTACTGCTCGGCTTAGACTCGGTAACAAGTATCTCTGGGAATTCTCATTATCTGCTGACGTAGACCTGACCAAATGTAAACTGTGTCAACAAAATTATTCGCACACCCTCCGTCACTATGTGATGGAATGCGAAAAGATACGTGATTTCAGAGACAATTCTATAGCAAATGTTCAAGAGATGTGTAAATAATTCATTCAGAATGACCTACTACCAGAAATCTTAGCTAAATAACCCCAGTTTGCTAACTGTAAGTAGTGACTATAAGTGATTGTAACCTATCCACCGCTGCCCACTGGATGGGGGGCGGTGTACAGGACAAACATATCAATTGTGACACTAGCTCTCCACATATGTCAGTTGCTTAATTTAGAAACTGTACATGTGGTCGATCTCGAGCCCACTGTTGATGTGACGATGTGCATTGAATTTTGTAACTAGTTCATCAAGATTGTAGCTTGCTTAGCTAAATGAATTGTGGGGTTCAGTCTCTGAGCCCATTATGTGCCTCTGTAACCCTTTCCACTACCGCCCACAAGATGGGTATGGGGTGCAAAATATATTAACTAAACTCAGGGACTGAGTGACTTGCTGTTATTTGGTTAATATTCGTTAATGTTTACACTGTATACTCTTTCCTCCTCAGCAACGACACCCATCTTAGCTGACTCTGCACCCTGTCTCAGCTACCGTTACACCCATCACAGCTGACTCTACACCCATCTCAGTGACTCTACACCTAGTCTCAACTACTTCTACACCCACACCAGCTCAAATTTTCTCCCTTTCACGTAACACCCATAAAATAAATCATTCTCACCTCCTTAATCCGAAATCACAACATCTGTTTATGTCGCCTCTGTCCTTGCTTTCTTTCCAAGCCCTCCTTCAACACCCAATCTTAACTATTAACTACTCCTGCCTAATTCTCGTCTCTATACCTAACATCAATCTATATATCCTCCCTCTCCCGCATCAATCAGCACTTTTAGCCCCATCAATTCGACCATTTCTCGTCAATCCAATCCCTTTTCTGTCAGCAATTGGCCCCTGCACTACACACTAACACTACTCCTAATCCTTACTTGCACACCCAAACCCATTCTAATCGTCAATAACACGGCTCCAATCCTCCTCATCTAACCACACTAGAATCCTCAACTCGCGAAGCACAAAACCAACTTTAAAACAGAGAGGAAAGGTTAAAGGGGAACTACATTTCGCAATCTTGGAGGAAAGAGCAATTGAATATGATCACTACATATAAGATACCGATGGGAAACGACAAGATAGACAAGGGACAGCTTCTTTAAATTTAGAGCAAGCAGGAAATATGTAAAAACTTTGGATACACAAATTAGTCGGAGAAATAGTTTGCTCCTATACGGGTAGTTCACAATGGAAGGGGCTGAAAGCTGCTGTGGAAACCACCCCTGTTCACAGCTTTAAGGCCAGAGAGTTCAATGTTAACGTACGTTCAATAAGGCTAGCGTGAGAGGGCAGGACATAGGGACCTAGACCTAGCATCCTCGTAGTCACTGTTAGGGAAGTGCTGTTAGGGAAGCATCAACCCCGAACATCTTGGCTTAAGGTTTCACTACTACCTTACCCATCCCACCCCACCCTTCACCACCACCTTACCCATCCCACCCTACCCTTCACCACCACCTTACCCATCCCACCCTACCCTTCACCACCACATTACCCATCCCACCCTACCCTTCACCACCACATTACCCATCCCACCCTACCCTTCACCACCATCTTACCCATCCCACCCTACCCTTCACCACCACCTTACCCATCCCACCCTACCCTTCACCACCACCTTACCCATCCCACCCTACCCTTCACCATCACCTTACCCATCCCACCCTACCCTTCACCACCACCTTACCCATCCCACCCTACCCTTCACCACCACCTTACCCATCCCACCCTACCCTTCACCACCACCTTACCCATCCCACCCTACCCTTCACCACCACCTTACCCATCCCACCCTACCCTTCACCACCACCTTACCCATCCCACCCTACCCTTCACCACCACCTTACCCATCCCACCCTACCCTTCACCACCACCTTACCCATCCCACCCTACCCTTCATCACCACCTTACCCATCCCAACCTATTCTTACAACACCCCTTACCCAAGTAGGCTTAGCTCCTCAATCCCTCATAGTCTGATTGTGTGTGTGAACTCACCTCACCATGTTGTGCTTCCTGCGGTTGAGCTTCGGCTCTTTGGTCCCGCCTCTTCACTGTCAATCTGCTGGTGTATAGGTTTCTAAGCTTATTGAGCCTTTATCATATCTACATCTGAGACTGTGTATGGAGTCAGCCTCCATCGTATCACTGCTTAATACATTCTATTTATTAACTACTCTGTCACTGAAAAAGTTCTTTCTAATATTTCTGTGGCTCATCTGGATACTCGGCTTTCACCTGTGTCCTCCTGTCCGAGTACCTCCCGTGTTAAATAGTCTGTCCTTATCAACCCTGTCAATTCCCCTGAAAATTTTGTGTGTGGTGATCATGTCTCCCCGAGCTATGTGTGTGTGTGTGTGTGTGTGTGTGTGTGTGTGTGTGTGTGTGTGTGTGTGTGTGTGTGTGTGTGTGTGTGTGTGTGTGTTTACTAGTTGTGTACTAGTTGTGTTTTTACGGGGGTTGAGCTTTGCTCTTTCGGCCCGCCTCTCAACTGTCAATCAACTGTTTACTAACTACTTTTTTTTTTCCACACCACACACACCCCAGGAAGCAGCCCGTGACAGCTGACTAACTCCCAGGTACCTATTTACTGCTAGGTAACAGGGGCATTCAGGGCTTCCTATTGCTTAGATACTCCCTTATCCACTGGAGCACCTTACCAGCTACACCTGCCTGTCTCTGAAAGAAACTTTGCCCATTTGTTTCTGCCTCGTGCGGGAATCGAACCCGCGCCACAGAATTACGAATCCTGCGCGCTATCCACCAGGCTACGAGGCCCCCCTGTGCGTGTGCGTGTGCGTGTGTGTGTGTGTGTGTGTGCGTGTGTGTGTGTGTGTGTGTGTGTGTGTGTGTGTGTGTGTGTGTGTGTGTGTGTGTGTGTGTGTGTGTGTGTGTGTGTGTGTGTGTGCGTGTGTGCGTGTGTGTGTGATGTATATATGTCTATCCGGATGTGTATGCCTGCCTGTGTCTCCATGTCAGGATGAGTGTCTGTATGCCTGGCTCAGGCCTAATATGCTCACAAACAAAAACATTGCTCTCATCATGTTAATTAGCCTAATTGTCGGCAGTCACAAGCTGTCAACACATTAATTAGCGGCTGGATAATTTTACTTATACACTCCTCAGCGCGTTTGTGACTCTCATCCGTCACATCCACACTACATCCACACACTATATCCACACACCACATCCATACGTCACATCCATACGTCACATCCACAAGCTTCATCCATGCACTACATCCATACAGGACATCCACACACTATATCCATACGTCACATCCATACGCTACTTCCATGCACTACATCCACACACTACATCCACAGACTACACCCAGCTGAAACCACCAATCACTCACTCGCTAGTGTATTCATCAATCATCCATCAACTCATTCTCTCAATTGATACGTATCATTGTGTACATTATCATCCCCAACGTACAAATTACAAAGTACTATGAAAACTAGCGGCTCACAGATATACACGTTTTCTATTAGTCGGTAGGTTAGGTTAGGTTAGAGTAGGTTAGGTTAGGTTAGGGTAGATTAGGTTAGGTTAGGGTAGGGTAGGTTAGGTTAGGGTAGGGTAGGTTAGGGTAGGGTAGGGTAGGTTAGGTTAGGGTAGGGTAGGGTAGGTTAGGGTAGGGTAGGGTAGGGTAGGTTAGGTTAGGGTAAGTTAGGTCGGAGGGGTTGCTTGGGTTGGTACCTTATTGGTTAGGACTTTGTACTTTGTACATTGGGGCAAATCAAGAGAACGGCTGCATCTACATATAATTAATACACAGGAAAAGGCTAAAGGCTGCTTGTATACTCAAGAGGATTATACTCACAAGTCTATACCCAGAGGCCTATACTCACAGGCCTATGCCCAGAGGTCAATACTCACAGGCCTATGCCCAGAGGTCTATACTCACAGGCCTATACCCAGAGGTCTATACTCACAGGCCTATACCCAGAGGCCTATACTCACAGGCCTATACCCAAAGGTCTATACTCACAGGCCTATACCCAGAGGTCTATACTCACAGGCCTATACTCACAGGCCTATACCCAGAGGTCTATACTCACAGGCCTATACCCAGAGGTCTATACTCACAGGCCTATACCCAGAGGTCTATACTCACAGGCCTATACCCAGAGGCCTATAC